TGAAGGCAAGGTTAAGGCCAAGGACTAATAACTCTGGTCTTAAGAAACCTCTATATAGAAAATAGTATAAGTTATTTTTATAGAAAAGCTATACACATCTTTTTATAGGGTAAGGTAAAAAATTAATAACAGTTCCATTTTTTCACTTTTAAATTGTATATTTAACAGTTTAAATACTGTTTGAACAGTTTTACTTCTCGTGGTTGTCTCTGATTTGCTAAGTATTCTAAAGCAACAAAATATTCTTCATTAGAATCGGAACAGTTTAAGTCCAAATCCATAAGAAACTGTTAATTTTTGTTTACTTTTATGTTTTCAACTCAAAAACATTTTGTTTTTGACAATATTTTATGTTATTGATTCGGACAGTAGATTTCCGAAAATAAATTCAGAACATAGATATCTGCAAAATTTTACGCCGGTAAAAGTTTTATAACATTGAATGAAAAAACATTTTACGTCTCTATATTTACGGCTGTAAAAATTCCAGAGCAAAAATGCATTTTACGCCGATAAAAAGTTTTATAACATCGACCCCTGGTCCCAACGTCCTTGGTCTAATTATGGTACTCCCGCTTGAAGCAATTAACTTTTAAAAATAAAGTTGATATTCGCCAGTGTCTACTTTAGGGCCGTTTTAAAACATTAATTCCGTAATGTTTATAAGCTAATGGAAAAAAATAATATGCTAATATGCATATGTTTTACACCAAATCATATCAAATTATTGGTGTAAAATATCATATCAATGATAATAACATATTCTGATATGATGCGATGATAGTTATGTTGCGATGATAGTTATGATGAAATAAAAAATGCTTCAAAAAGTAAATGATTCTGCAAGAAATGCATAACAATATTCGAAATGATAACTAATTTTTAATTGCAATGGTGTTTTGAGAGTTACATTTTGTCACTGGTTCCTCGATTAACTTAGAATTAATTGCGTGAGCTATTACTAATAAAATATAAAGACTTTTTCTAATAGTATTAGAAAAAGTCTTTATATTTTATAGTTGAAAAATTAATATTTGAAACAAAACAAAGCTAAAATAAAGCAAAATAAAAACTTAAATATATAAACTCAATTTTAGTAATTTCTTCTAAACTTAGTGGAACAACACAATTCTTAATACTTACTAATAAAGTTACCACTATTTATTAATTATTACCATTAATATAGTCAAGAAAAATGAACTCGGGTCAATGAAATGGGAAAAGATTACTACATCTGTCCAACAACATCCGTGGAGTAGTGAAATAACATCCGCACATTTTTGTGTAAGATCACCCGCTTTTTTTCTTTACTGAATTAACATCTGTGCAACAACATCCGAAATTTCATTGATGTCTAATAACATCTTTAGAAAGATGTAACTACATCCGAGAGTTTTTCTCGATGTGTAACTACGTAGTTACACATCGAGAAAAATTGTTGAAATTTCGGATGTAGCTACATCCGCCTAAAATAATGCATTATTAAAAATAAAAAAATAAAAGATAAATTTCCGGACGCATTTACATCCGAAAAAAATCAGATGTGTAATTACATCTGGTTAAAATAATGCATTTTTAAATTACTTTTTTCCCGGATGTAGTTACATCCGAAAAAAATCAGAAGTGTAACTACATCTGGTTAAAAAAAAAAAATTCCGGACGTAGTTACATATATATTAGTTACATATATAATTATTATATTATATAAGTGCTGCGGCATCGACCCTGACTCGCAACGGAATACTGCTCATTGACTGAGGGTTTGGTTTGGGTAGGCAGTCTATTAAATAATTAAAAAAAATTATTATGCTTAAAATAATGCATTATAATAATTTTTTTTGGGGATGTAGTTACATCCGAAAAATCTACAGATGTAGTTAGTTGCACGGATGTTATTATACATAAATGAAATTTGGGATGTTGCGCGGATATTATACATGGCAAAAACGGCTGTTATTGCCTTGACCCAATGAAATTATGCTCTGCAGAGCACATTTTTTTTTTTTATTTAATTTTTTTATTAATGTGTAAAATTATTTTTTTTTTTTAAATGTGAATCCTAATAAATATATAACATCAAGTTGCATTTATAAGTTATATTTATAACTTCACCATAAGATTACAAATGAGTTTAAGCAAGTTTGAGCCCTAAAAAGGCTTTTATAATAAACTTTTATGCAATTTATAGCAACACTTAAAAACCTTTTGCAAAAAGTTATCAGCCAATTTCTCCTGATAAAATGCTTTTCTGGCTGAATTTAACACTTTCAGAAATAATTGCAAGCAAGAATGATAGATTCATGTAAGAAAAACCATTTTCTGATTTGCTGGTGCGTTTCAAAAATTTACAATTATAGGAGTTATATGACACAAGTTAAATCTGAACATTTAATTTTAATGTATATTTTGATTTCATCATAGGAATATGTATGAATTGTGTGACCAGATTGACCGTATTGTTTTTTAATTGCTACTTTCTCTAAGTGCTGTAATAATTTCA